AATTGGGTAATAAATATAAATTGGTTAAATTTGCCGCAAACTATCGTCACGATCCTAGTCTTGGGTTGAGGAATTTGCTCCCTATGGTGCTGAGTTCTACGGTGGGTTCCTTCCTCTGCTGATTAGTTGTCCCTTTCCCTGCTTTCCTGCTCTAGGTTACTTGACTAGTGGCTTGAGTTTTTTCTCTTTTTCGTAGGTCCATTCTTGTTCTTTTTCTTCTTTCTCTTGTCGTGGAGTGAGTGATTGTCGATTGCTTGATGTCGCGTCTGGTTTGTGTTATTCTTATTCCTCTTTGCTCCTAGCCTTTAGCATTCATTTTCCCTAATTGTAGTGGTGCTCTTGCCCGTCCTGGGGCTGTCCAAACTCAAATTTTATTTCTATCTATGGCAAATAAGTGCTCACTATGTCGGATCTACTGTGTTCTTGTCGCACTAAATTATGCCCTAGCTGGTCTGAAGGCTTGGTATGATTACTCACTCCTTTCAAACGTCGTTTGGTTTCGCGGATGGTTGTCGTTCTCCTTCTCTTGAAGGCTTGGGTTTTCTCCCGTCTTTGCACTGTCTTGCCTTTGTCCCTGTCCTTTGTCCCTTGCGCCTGATGGGGTTCGAGAAGAGGGCCTTTCGTTCTTACCTTGATTCCGCGGGGGGCCGCTCTAACCTTGTGGGTCGTGATGAAGGCGTGAGTGCTGCAGCGTCTTCTCTTCTTCGTCGTGTTGTTTCCTCGTTTGCCTCGGGTGTCGTTTTCCTTTGATTGGAAATGGGTTACTCCTCCCCTCTTTCCTTCTCTCTCCTTGCCTCTTTGTCTTTTCCTGTTCGTAGGTCGTTTCCCCTCTCCCATTCTTCCTCTAGGATCCCTTCCTTCCTTCTCTCTTTTTTCTCCCTTGTCTTTGCTTGCCCATTGTCTCCGGGAGGGGCCCCGCCTGAGGTGTGGCGTGGCGTGGCGTGGCGACATGCGTATTCGCCCCTCTCTCTCCTTCCCGCCTCCATTTCCCAAGTTCGAAAGCGAAGAGGCGCGCAAACCACGCGGGCCGCGGGTTCCCGCTGGGAGCGGCAAAGATCGACGAAGCTGGGTCGTGAGCCGTGTGGAACGGAACGGTAGCGCTTACCGCACCGGCGCTAGCGCTCACTTCGCAAAATCGAGTTGAAGTAACTCCGGATCGTAATCACTCCCCTCTAACTGTTGTTACTCTGTATTTCTCTTTTCTCATTATCTGCCGATATGGGGCGCTGTGACAGGTTTACCTGGACGAGAAGTTGTTTGCGAGTATGCAGTCATAACCATAATAATGATCATCATCTTTTTTTCCCCTTTTGTTTTTGGGACTGCAAAGCACTCTGCCACAGTGCAATAAAAACAGAGGCAACACTGGAAGGGTCGGGTAAGCAAGCTTACCCATTTGACCCCTTGTGACCCGAAGAAATTTTATTTAATTAATTTTAATATCATTGTTTCCCGATGGAGCACGGAGCAGACATTAAAATTATCAGAACAGATACTACACTTGATCTTAGCCAAAAGGCCTAGAAAGGTATTCCTCCTCCTCATCGTCGTCATCACAAGTTTGTGATCTGCTGGCTTTGCAACGCTCAGGAGATGGCTGTTATTCTCAAGTGTTGCGCTCTGTTCTGTTCCCTTTCAGAGCTGATGAAGAGTGCACTATCAAATACCCAACCTCCAGGGTTGCATAACCGCTGACTGCTGATGCTGGCCAACTGTTTTGCAGCCTACCATTAGGGCAGGCTGGTCGGCGGTCTGCCGACCAGTCAGTAGAGGGCCATCCACTGACTTTTTTTCAAATCCGATTCCAGGACTGTACTGCGCTTGCTGAGTAGCCCATAACCGCTGAGAAAACTTCGGGGATGGAGGGGAGGGGTACGGGGGGGGTATGGGAGTGGTATAGGAGGGGTATACGGTGTTATGGGAGGGGTATGAGGGTGTTGGGGGGCAGTATGGGGGGTGTTGGGGGAGTGGTGAGGGGGGGTATGGTGGTGTTGGTGGGGTTATTGGGGACTATGGAACCCCCCGCCGCCCCCCCCCCAAAAAAAGAAAGAATAAAAATTGCGGGTTCCTGACAAACCGCCAACCCTTTGGTGCCAACAAGTGGAACAGCCGGCTGGTCGGTAGCCGACCAATCCAGGGGCGCTGATCGTCGGCGTGACCACTCTGGCAACCTCTTCCTTCTCCTCCTCTCCTCCCCCCCCCTTCCCTCCACTGCCTCTTCCTCCTCGTCCTTCTCACTTGTGCCTTTCCTTTCTATTTACTTCTTGCCCCTTGCCGGCCTTCTCCTCTCCTCCTGATGGAAGGGTGACGTGGATTCAGGAGTGGGGGAGTTGGAGGAGCGAAGGGGAAGGAGGCACTGGGGATAAAAGGAAGGGGAGGAGGAGGGATGGGGCCAGAAGGGAGGTGGGCAGCTCACTGCTGGCTTCCTCTCTCATATTGGAGGGAGTGGTTGGGGGGTAGGAGAGAATGTCATCCGGTGTGCAGGTGGGATTGTCAGGCACAGGAAAGTGCCTGAAGTCCTGAGACTTCGCCTTCTTGAATACAGTTTTCAATATCCTTTCTGGGGAGATGTTCGCCTTCTGCATCGGCCGTCAGTCCGTGAAGTCCTCTTTTGTATTGGATAGTCCTCTGGAGACCTTGAGGCATGAACAGGGGCCGTTGAGGGTCGCCCTCTTGCGAGGTGGCACGGGAGTTTGCTCACAGTGAGAGAATCACGTGGCAACCCACCATCGAACTTTCTTTTTTCTTTTTTCTTTTTTTTAACCGCTACAAGGAAAATGAGTGATAGCGAAATGAAAGAATTCAGAATGCAAAATCACATTGAAAGCCAGAAAATCGAACCCTGTCCAGAAAGGAGATATGCACTGATATTCCACCAACAGAGAACCAAAGCACCGAATCCAAATGTCAATGAGAGCATACTCTCGCCACCACCAACGTATGTATCCAGAGCCCTTACTCCTACTCGGCGCTTAGCGCCCAGACTACAATCACACAGCTTCTACCCAGCCTATGAATTGGCATGCAACCTGTTGATGTCAGCAGCAACAACCGAAGTACATGAAGATGTCGACCCTGTAGGCCATCGCCAAGACCAGGTACGTGCCCTCACATCATCATCCTCATCTCTCTCTCTCTCTCTCTCCCTCGTCTTCTTCACCCATGTCTTCCTCCTCATACACGAAGACCACCACCACCTCCCGCTGACTATCCAAGCCAAACCCAGCTATGGTTGGGCTGGCTATGGCGCTGCCCTCAGCAGCAGCGCTCTACCTCTCTTCGACGCCCATGTGCGCCTCCACACTAGCGCTAGCGCAGCAGCCCACGAGGAATTGCTCCAGCAGCGCTGCCGCCTCTACACACAAGTGCCCGAACGTCTGCCTCGTAGCCCTGCCCTTTCCTATATGGAAAGTGGCGGGGCTCATTGCCTCCCGCTTGTCCTGTGAGACCGAGTTTCCAGGAGCTTTAGTCTCGGCCAAAGTGATTGCGCCCAGGCCCGTTCAGACAGTGGCCTGGGACCGAATTGGTTAGGCATGCTCAACCACCCAGGCATAAACGTGCGGTGTTCCCTGCTTCGACCACGTTGCCGGAAGAGCCTGGAAGGCTCACAAATATTTCCGATTCTCACGAGCAATGCCTATGTAGCCAGCTGGCCCGTGGCAACTGTCTGGCGCCCTCCAAGTTTTGCAAAAACTGATGAGTCCAGGGCTCATAGAGATTCAGGGGGGCCGCCTTCACTTAGGGCGGGCACGCGCCTGCTGCAGGGCCTTATGCCGGTATGCCGAGGGGTAAAATCCTCGCACTGCCATCGAACTTAATTAAAAACATTAGCGGGAACATGTGAAGGCGTGGCAGCATGACAGTGGAGTGTGTGTGGCGTGATAGCACTGCATTGCACTAACAAGTAGCACAGTTGCTTTTGTTTTTTCTACGGTGGATGTTAGTTGGTAATATTTCTGGGGGCTGGTCTTTTCTTCATTCATCTGCATTTACAAAATCAAGAGCTCAGCTGCCCAGTTGAATTCACTGGAAATTAGTAAATTACTGTATTCAACGGGCACTTATTCAGAGGAGAAATCTTGTACAATTGGGCTCATAGAATGGATATGGAGCCAGGACCATGAAAACCTGTTATGAGAAAAAAAAAAAAAAAAAAAAAAAAAAAAAAAAAAAAAAAAGAAAGAAAGAAAGAAAAGAAAAGAGGGGATGGCATGCATGCAGAGTGTATGCAGTGGTTGATACGCCGCTTAGCAACATGTGCTCAAACAACAAGGACGAAGACATCCTACATTGCCTGATAAAATGCCCAGCCGCCAGCAAGGTCTGATCAAGAGTAACAAAGTTGGTCTCCCTTTGCACTATACACCCCCCCTCCCCCTAATCCCTGCTTACCACACTCCTAGCCATTCAACTCCCCTCCTACTTGAAGGGTCTGGGACAATCATGATTTCTAATGCCGAGGAAGGTGCCTCTGTGGACAATCTGGAAACGAAGATGCGCTCTCACTATCGAGGGTGACAAAACAGACAAGGAGCAGACCAGCGCCTCTCTCATCCTGATGGTAGCGACCGAGATGGGAAGCAGATGGCAGCAAACCAAGAATACAGGGCTCCCCGGGGCTGTAAAGGCAAACTTCAGGAAAAACAATCTTCGGCTGCACATGGCTGTTTCCAGCAGAGACAACAGACTTTCGAATGCCCCGGCCCTAACCAAGCGTGAGCGGCCTCTGAGAGATGGCAAGCTGAGCAGTCCATCCGCTGTTACAAAAGCAACCAATGTCGTTCAGGGGTCCTTCGGCCAAACAGAAAGAAGCAGAGTGTGTGGTTATTGCATGTACATTTGTCTGACTTGCCGGGGGAAAAGGAACCGGACCGACGCTCCCCAGAATAGAAAGGAGGGAATGGCATGCAATGAAGTTTTGAAAAACATCTCAAAATCTCTGAATAGAGGGATGAAGAGCAGTGGAAAGGAAGACAATGGGGGAAGGACAGCATTCACACCTCGAAGATGGAATCCAGCTGACTCTCATATCTGATATTAAATAAAGCTTCACTAACTCCGAGTTTGCTTCGAATATGCCACAACTCCTCTTTTCGAAACACCTTATACGTACGGGCCTTTTCAGCTGCATCCATAGGTCTGACGGTCAAAATTGATGCAGCTGAACTAGGGTCTGCTGAACCCTGATCGCTGCTAGCATTCTGAGCTTTTGGAGCTCGTACAGTTGTCACATAGTGCTGTAATGTACATGGGGTCACCTCCTTATTACTTTCGTCCTTAGAAATGCCGCTCATCAGGTCCGGTGTCCCTGATCCCAACAACATGCTGCTCATTGAGTCGGCCAAGCAAACATTGTGTACTGTCGCCAGTATAGCTTCCTTGAGCGATTTTGGTTCCACTTTGTCCACTCTTTTGCTCTCTGCAGAGTCCGGACCCCAAGGTAATTCCACCCCCGTTCCAGCCGATTCACCACCATTCCCACTTGTTGTTTTGGTAAGCAGTTTCCTTTCAATCAAACATTTGCACGGTGACTCTGCCAGCCCTATGAACAGCATCTTGTACCCATTTCGCCGGTTGAAGATCTCAAAATCTACAAGCGTTTCGTTGAAGTCGACCGAAAACTGCGGCAGAGAGTCCAGTGTGTTCAAAAATACTTTTGGAGCCCCATCTTTGATCTGTACATGCAAGAACGGGATGATGATGAGCATTAGCATGATCCCCAGGATGAGCTTCTGTGTTGTCAACTGTGAAAGAATTCGCCAGACATTACTGGGCTCAATGGGACCTTTTGACTTGGGCAATGATATCAACCGTGCAAGCCGGAGTATTCTGATCTCCCTGGAGATGTGTCGAAGAGTAAGTCTTTCTCGAATGAACCCAAAGACCCCCCATGTTGTAAGGTCTGGTAAAATCATAATTGTGCCTACCAAGTCCATCCTGCATGTGTCACCAAGGACAGCCCACCCAACAGCAGTTGGCAATAACTGAGATAAAGGTTAATAAAAACAAGGAACCACACATTCTTTATTTACATTCTTTATTTCCTTTTCCACCTTCCGTTCGGTTTGCTAATGAGCATGCAATGTGGAAGAAACTGCAGTACATAGGGCATACTCAGACCAGGACTTTTTCCACAAAGCTTCGGATGTGATTAAGGTCAGATTCGTCGAGGTCTGGCCATAACTGCAGTCAGATGCATGTAGAAAAGTTTTGTGTGAGTATGCCCAGAGGCTATCCAGGGCTGTTTGCCCAGATGCTGCTGTTTTCGTACTCAAGCCTCATAAAGGATATGCTGCGTTTTCTTTTTCAAAGAAGGACTCCCTAACTCGTATAAAAAGGGAGGAAAGATTTAAAAAATGATACTTCCAAGTGAGGGGCAGGGTTTAGGGTTCAGGGTTTAGTAGACCTCAAAAGAAGGGAGAAGGCTAAATGGTTTAGGGGATACAGCGACTTACGGGCAGGGCCGATGAGGGGGAGAGCACAGGCA